ATAAGGTGTATATCTTAAATAATAAGTTAACAACAACAATAATTATTATTATTATCATCATTATTGTTATTATCATCACTATTCAAAATGCCCAGGTTTTAACCATCTTTACTGAGTGTTTAAGATAAAGCAGTCAAACTGACTTTTGTTTTTATCTATTATTAATAGTCAGCTGAGTTTTTATGGGAGTCATTCCTGGGGAAACTACAGCAGCTTCTCAGGTCTGCTAATGTCATTTGCACTAGGATGGGTCTAGGTCTTGCTTGACCACGTGGCTTCCCTTGGAAGCATCAGGGATGTCTCCCTTCTCTRATGACCCTCCTCTTCATAGCAAATGCACTGTTTGGCTTTCTGTTCTCCAGTGCTCAAGGTGAGACAGTAGGATTTGGTGAAAGAGCCAACCTGATGGAATCTGCTTAGGTCATGGTGGGTCAAAAAGCAGGGGAGCTGTTTGCATGTCCTGGGGACATGCTCCCAGTGACTCATTCCTCACCTACCTATCTCCTTTTACAACCCAGTCAGTCCATCCAAACTAGAATAGACCTATGAGATCATCACTCATAATCTAATCATTCCACATCTTCCTGCATTAAAAGAAAATTTGGGGGCATGCCACAGATCCAAACCATAATAATTCCCCTTTGGGAATCTCTTTATTTCATATACCAAAGTTTTCCAGCCAAAATTAGCCTTCTTCCTATGCAAAGAAAAAAGAAAGCATGCTAATGTGAATCTAGTCAACCACATAACAGTTTTATGATTATTCCTGGAGACAGTAAGTTATGACAAATTTCATATGACAAGTATAATGGTCAACTTATTGCAGCTGAACCTGTTTCCTAGTGCAACAAATCTGTGTGGACATCCACTCCTTGTCATTGTGGTACATTATTATTTATAAACTACATTTATAGGAACACTATGATGGACTCAAAATTCCAGATAATGTAAATACTATCATTAGATGCAGAAAACTCTTGGGAGCACTATGACACATTGACTTCTAGCTACCTCACAGTTACTACTACTCTGTTGACTGTCATATGGGATTTCCCAATATTTTGAATCTTATGAAAATACATAGAGAGAATAAGAGTTACAATAATTTGGACATTACAGATGAACCTTTCTTAGACCCAGCCCCTGAACATGACTTCATGGCCATAGACTCAAATTGGTCAGGAGACAAAATTAGAATGAATAGATAATTATTTTAAATACTCCAAACATCAAATAAAATAATTCATCAAGTATAGGTGAGTGTACTTACATGAAAACCATTGTCAGTCTCATTAGAGATTAATATATGAAGTATTTGGGGGTTGGTTTGGATGCCTAACCACTCATTCACTACATTTTCTTCACAATATACTCTTGATCATTGGCACTTTAGATACATTAGACCTATTTCATGTTGCAGGGAAATGYTGTCAGATGCAGAGGATGGAAATGAGTAAAGCTGAGAACGAGCTCACAATGGCTAGTACCACTAACATCATGCAGGGATTGCTTCCTTTACGGCTTTAAAACTACTTCCTTTTCCTGAAGACTACGTTCCTCTCTCAGACTCTCTATCAAATGCTATGATGGAGACTTTCAACTCTGCATGCACACTGTGGTACTTAGCCCAAAGTGTCCACTGTGAAGCTGTACTTCTCTAAAGCTGCATATGTACTGGAGATCCTGACAGTGTAAGGCCTTCATTGAGCAGACCCTCATGACTGAGAAGGGAAGAATATTGCATGTCAAGAACCATAACTATTTTGAACTATGAGTGCCTTTAAAATATGTTTTCACATTTTATATCTGATCTGACATCCTTGTGCTATTAAAAAAGTATCATTAAACTTAGCCAACCTCTGCTCTACAGCAATCTTTAACCTAAAAACTCTACAAGATAATTTCTGAATCTATAAAGCACTTCTCCTTGCTTGCCTACATAAAGACCCCAAGGAAGAATTTAATAAACCTACTGATGCATAATTTTTTGTTCCATAGTTATAAAAGCTCCCCTAAACTCTTCCACGGTGGGGGGGGGGACACCTCATGAAGGTTAACATGAAACTGAATGAATCATCTGATCATAAAGCATATTTAGTCAAAATTAATTTGTAATTATTCACCCACTAATGTAATTCCTGATTAAAAATTTGCCTCTGAATATACCAGAATGAAGTTAGTATATGATGCAGATTCCATGGAACAAGGAGGTGGCATTCAGGATTTGCATGTGGGTCCTTCCTTCTGGGACACTGTTCCCCATGACCCTGGGCTCAGAGGCCACAAAAGGAAACTGAAACACCAGGTCAAATGTATTAATAATATTCATATCTTCACTCCACCTACCATCCAGATTTGAGAATGTCAATAACTTTGCTCCAATACCCATCCCAATATTGTTCTCACTTATCCCTAGGAAATTGGATTCATTGAAAATAAGAACAGAGACATCTAATGCTGACACATAAGACCAAACCCAAGACTCCAGTCCATTGTTCTGACCCCTGAGCCAGGGAAGGGTATGGTCTGTTAGCTCTCTCCCCATCTCCTTCCATTTTCCATGGCTGTCCCCTCTTACCTTTTGCCTTCCATCTCTTCACCTTCTCCTTGACACAGAAAGTTTGGCCAGTGGTGCACGGGATTGCTCTTTATYCTTCTATGTCCACACTTCACATTTATTCTTGACACTTACAAACAACAAAGAGGGGTGGGGAAGAACCATCCTGTACCTTGATACCAAGGGATCAGCATAATTGTTGAGATACTGGCATAGCAAGTAGCATTCAAGGGTCTTGTTAAGCCAAGTCATTTGTTATTATTAAGTATTTAAAACTGCACACTACACATAACTACTCTTCTCTCTACAAAAATTGCTTCTGAAAACTTTAGGGTATTCATGCAAACTTTCAGATTGAACAAGTAATATATTCCCCTTATCCCCAGTAGTGCTCATGTTTTGTGTGGTTAGGTGAAAGAGTTTGGCTGCCCAATAACCTACAATGGAAGTCATCATCTCAATCTTCAGGAAATGTGATTCATTGCTATTAAGCTTTGTACAAAATGCAAAGTGATTTTTGTCTAAGGCCATCAATCCTTCTCATAAGACCTTTGGAATGCTGTTAAACAGTTTGCTAAAAAAAAAATACCACACACTGACTAGGGATTTTGCCCTCAGAAGAGCCTCTCCCATGCTTTATCAGAAGCTAGCACCATTGCTTCATCTTCCTTTCAAAATCAGTACCTGGAACATTAGGCGCAAATGATGTGAACCCTATCACAAGTGCACACTACACTATCAAGGGAAGTAGAAGCACTGAAAATAGAAAGGCCACAACTACAGTCTGCACAATAAAAACTTGTCAGGCAACTAGTGATGTACTTAATTCGTTCTCTCTCTCTCTCCTTCCCAGCTGCCATGAGGTAAGAAGTCCTTCTCTACTACGCCATCACATATTATGTTCTGTCGCACCTCAGGCCTAAAGCAAGGTGTTCAGTCAATGATAGGCTGAATGCTATATGACCATGAGCCAAAATAAATCTTCCCTCTATTAGGTTGAACTTTCTCTGGTATTTTTGTGAGTGAAATGGAAATCTGAAACATAAATCAAACTGGAAAGTGTGAAGGCTCTATCAGATTTCTGGTTCAGAGTTTCTCAACCTGTGCAACAGTTTTATGTTCTTCAAAGGAACCATAAAATTGGACATTTTCACACATTCCTTTGCTCCACTACCTTCCATGTATAAGAAGTAAATATCACACATTTAGAGGGTTTCACTTCCACTATGAGTAAAATGGTTTTAAAAGCAACAGGAAAAAATGATTTACCACTTCGTTAATGTTCAGAGTTTTTGTAGTGTGAATCCTCCACTTGAAGATGACGAGGAAAATTGATTGTTTACCAGAATTTTTGCATTCAAATAGCACTGCTACATTACCATTTCTTTAACGATTATTAGACGAACTGCACCAAAGGTGTTTACATTAATATATGTTTGTTCTGATTGTTTACATTAATATAGCTTTGTTCCAATACAAGTTATTTCATGTTTTTTGAATGTCACTGCAACAAATAAAGGATTTGCTTTTTATATACAATGTTCGTTCTTATATTTGAAAATAGCAAGATTAATTGAAGGCTGTTTCACATTGTTGACTCTCATTAGGCTTCTATCCAGTATGAATCAGTTTATAATTTGAAGCTGATAATAAAGGAGGGCAGGAGTTATGGCTCAACAGTAGAGTACTCAGCTAGAACATGTGAAGCCCTGGGTTCTAACTTAGCACCACATAAAAATAAGTAAATAACAAAGACATTGTGTCCAACTACAACTAAAACAAACATATATATATAGAAAACAAAAAGAATAAGGAAACATTTTTTACATTGCTTCCATTTACATGTTTTCTCTACAGCATGAGTGTGTTTATACCCTTGAAAGAGAGTGACAATCCTGATTTGTTCTTCCAGACTGTTTTCATACAGTCTCTCTCTGGTATGAGTTTTCAAACTGAATTAGAATGAGCAAGAGTTGTACCACATTGTTTACATGAGGTAAAAGTACTTATTGGAGGTATCTCTCCAATAAGTTCATTCATGTACATGAAGATATACACAACTAGTAAATGCTTTACCACATCATTACATTCAAAGAGCTCTTCTCCAGTATATTTTTATGTCTAAAGCCCACTGTAATAAGTGAAGGCTTTCCCACATTGTCTACATTCACAAGGTTTTTCCCTAGCATGAGTTTTGTCATGTATTCGAAGATAATTCAAACCACTGAAGGCTTTACAACACCATTTATTCTCATGGGGCCTTTCTCCATTGAGATTGTTCATGTATTTGAAGGAAAAGGGGGAAAAACATGAAGATTTTTCTTTTATTTTTAAAARTTTCTTAGATGTTGATGAACCTTCATTTTATTCATTTATTTATAGGTGGTGAGGAGACTCAAACCCAGTGCCTCACACACGCCAGGCAAATGCTCTACCACCGAGCCACAACCCCACCATGATGGTTTTAACACATTATTTACATTCATAGATTCTCTCCAGTGTGAGTCTGCTCAGGCACATGAAGATAAACAGAACATCTAAAGCTTTTACCACAATGTTTATATACAGATGAAAACATTCTTTCCAGTATGAGTTTTTTCATGGGAGTGAAGTTCATCGGGTGAAGCAAAGTCTTTCACGCAGTGTTTACATTCATAAGACTTCTTTCCTATGAGTTGGTTCATGTGAGCAAAGTTAACTGGATGAACAAAAGGCTTTCCCATAGTGTTCACATGGATCATGATTTTCTCCAGTATGATTGTGATTAAGTATTTGAAGGGTAGTTAAAGTAGTGAAGGCTTTTCAACATTGTTTACATTTATACGGATTATCTCTACCATGAATTCATGTGTACAAAATTCAATGTACTTAGTGAAGGCTTTGTTTCACTGCTTAGAGTCATAGGGCTTCCCTCCCATATGAATTTGTTCATGTGCCTGAAGAATAGAGGACTGAGTGAAGGCTTTCCCACACTGCTTACATTCATAGGGCTTCTCTCTAGCATGAGTTCTTTCATGTGAGTGAAGGTTAGATAACCAAGTGAAGGCTTTGCCACACTTCTTACATTTATAAGGCTTCTCTCCAGTATGAGATCGTTTATGTATTTGAAGGCTAGACAAAGTAGTAAAGGCTTTACCACATTGTGTACACTCATATGGCTTCTCTCCAGTATGAGATCGTTTATGTATTTGAAGGTTAAACAACCTAGTGAAGGCTTTACCACATTTTGTACATCCATAGGGTTTCTCTCCAGTATGAGTTTGCTTATGTTTATGAAGGTAAGAGAAGGCAGTGAAGGCTTTTCCACATTCTTTGCACTCATAGGGCTTCTCCCCAGTATGAGTTCTTTCATGTGTGCGAAGGGTACCAGATGAGCTAAAGGCTTTGCCACATTGCTTACAGTTATAGGGCTTCTCTCCAGTATGAGAGCGTTCATGTATTTGAAGGTTAAACAAACTAGTGAAGACTTTATCACATTTTGTACATCCATAGGGCTTCTCTCCAGTATGAGAGCGTTTATGTGTTTGAAGGTAAGAGAAGGCAGTGAAGGCTTTTCCACATTCTTGGCACTCATAGGGCTTCTCCCCAGTATGAGTTCTTTCATGTATGCGAAGGGTACCAGATGCGCTGAAGGCTTTGCCACACTGTTTACATTCATAGGGCTTCTCCCCAGTATGAGTTCTTTCATGCCTGTGAAGGGTACTAGATAAACTAAAGGCTTTGCCACATTCCTTACATTCATAGGGTTTCTCTCCAGTATGAGTTTGTTTATGTTTTTGAAGGTAAGAAAATGCAGAGAAGGCTTTTCCACATTCTTTGCATTCAAAGGGCTTCTCCCTAGTATGAGTTCTTTCATGTCTGTGAAGTTTAGTAGATGAAATAAAGGCTTTGCCACATTGCTTACATTTATAGGACTTATTTGCAGTGTGAATTTGTTTATGTTTTCGAAGGTAACATAAGGCAGTGAAGGCTTTTCCACATTCTTTGCATTCATAGGGCTTCTCCCCAGTATGATTTCTTTCATGAGCTTGAAGTGTACTAGTTGAACTAAAGGCTTTCCCACAWTGCTTACATTCATAAGGCTTCCTTCCTATATGAATTTGTTTATGTTTTCGAAGGGAAGAGAAGGCAGTGAAGGATTTGCCACATTCTTTGCATTCATAGGGCTTCTCTCCAGTATGAGTTTGTACATGGGCGTGAAGGGTAGAGGACTGAGAGAAGGCTTTCCCACATTGTTTACATCCATAGGGCTTCTCTCCGGTATGAGTTCTCTTGTGTGAGTGAAGGATGGAGGACTGGGTAAAGGCTTTACCACACTGCTTACATTCATAGGGCCTCTCTCCGGTATGAATTCGTTTATGTTGTTGAAGAGAAGAGGAAGAAGTGAAGGCTTTCGTACATTGTTTACACTCAAAGGGCTTCTCTCCAGTATGAGTTCTTTCATGTATTTGAAGTTTGGAGGATGTAGTGAAGGCTTTTCCACACTGTTTACATTCTGCCATATGAGTTTGTTTATGTACTTGATGTTCAGAGGAACAAGTGAAGACTTCACTACATTGTTTACATTCATAGAGTTTCTTCCCAGTGTGAATTTGCTCATGCTTGTGAAGTTTACTAGATGAAGAAAAGGCTTTACCACACTGTTTACATCCATAGGGCCTCTCTCCAGTATGAGTTCGTTCATGTGAGTGACAGTTAAATAACCGAGCGAAGGCTTTCCCACATTGTTTACATTCATAGGGCTTCTCTCCAGTATGAGTTCTTTCATGTATTCGAAGGGTACCAGATGAGCTAAAGGCTTTGCCGCACTGCTTACATTCATAGGGCTTCTCTCCGGTATGAGTTCGTTTATGTGTCCGAAGGGAAGAAGAACAAGTGAAGGCTTTTGTACATTGTTCACATTCATAGGGCCTCTCTCCAGTATGAGTTCTTTCATGCATTTGAAGTTTAGAGGGTGTAGTGAAGGATTTTGCACATTGTTTACATTCATAGGGCTTCTCTCCAGTATGAGTTTTTTCATGTGAATGAAGGCAAGATGACCGAATGAAGGCTTTGCCACACTGCTTACATTTATATGGCTTCTCTCCTGTATGAGTTCTTTTATGTACTTGAAGTTCATAGGAAAAAGTGAAGACTTTACCACATTCTTTACATTCATGGGGCTTCTCTCCAGTATGAATTCGTTCATGTGAGTGACAGTAAGATAACCGAGTGAAGGCTTTCCCACATTGTTTACATTCATAGGGCTTCTCTCCAGTGTGTGTTCTTTTATGTATGCGAAGGGTACCAGGTGAGCTAAAGGCTTTGCCGCACTGCTTACATTCATAGGGCTTCTCTCCGGTATGAGTTCGTTTATGTATCCGAAGGGAAGAAGAACAAATGAAGGCTTTTGTACATTGTTCACATTCATAGGGCCTCTCTCCAGTATGAATTCTTTCATGTAACTGAAGTTTAGAGGATGTAGAGAAGGCTTTTGCACATTGTTTACATTTATAGGGCTTCTCTCCAGTATGAGTTTTTTCATGTGAATGAAGGCAGGATGACCGAATGAAGGCTTTGCCACACTGCTTACATTTATATGGCTTCTCTCCTGTATGAGTTCTTATATGTACTTGAAGTTCATAAGAAGAAGTGAAGACTTTACCACATTCTTTACATTCATGGGGCTTCTTCCCAGTGTGAATCTGTTCATGCTTCCAAAGTGTACTGTAAGAAAGAAAGGCTTTCCCACACTGCTTACATTCATAGGGCTTCTCTCTTGTATGAATCCGTATATGTATATGAAGAGAAGAGGACGTACAAAAGGCTTTTGCACAGTGTTCACATTCATAGGGCTTCTCTCCAGTATGAGTTCTTTCATGTGAGTAAAAGTGAAAAGCCCGAGTGAAGGCTTTACCACACTGCTTACATTCATACGGCTTCTCTCCTGTATGAATTCGTTCATGTACTTGAAGTTCAGAGGAACATGTGCAGACTTTACCACACTGTTTACATTCATAGGGCTTCTCTCCAGTGTGAGTTCGTTTATGTATTCGAAAGTAGGAGAATTTACTGAAGGCTTTACCACATTCTTTACATTCATAGTGCTTATCTCTTGTATGAGTTTGTTTATGTATTTGAAGAGAATATGAATGAGTGAAGGCTTTCCCACATTGTTTACATCTGTAAGTGATCTCTCCAGGAGGAGTTTGTACATGCATTTGAAGGTTATTTGAAATAGTAATGGTGCCTCCACATTGCTTACATCCAGGTGGCTGCTCTCCAGTATGAGATGGTTGATATTTTTGAAAACACTTGGAACAACTGAACTCTCTTCCAAATGTCAGACCTCCATTAGGTCYATTTACGGTGTGCTCTGACACGTGGCATAGAACACTTGTGAGAGAAATGGAGGATTTTCTCTTCTCTTTACATTCATATAGCTTTCTTCCACACTCCTCATTTTCATATGGTTTGTTTGCAGAGTGAGATAAGATGGGCCTATTAAGGAAAACGTGACATGTGAAGATCTGTCCACACATATTGCTTTCACATGAACTGACTAGCAGAAATGTTCCTTTAAGACTAAGATTTGGAATCTCACTGAAGGTTTTTACACAGAGTACCTTTTCAAAGTTTTCCAGAGCCTACCATATGACTTCTGTAAAAAAAATATATAAGCACAATTTATGGTTGGATCATTAATACTTTTACATTTATTGTATTACATTATCAATATCAGGGAAAGTATGGGTTTTCTGTTATGTCTATACTGTATGCTCTTTGAAAGTCAATGTAACAATTACTTTATAAGACTGCTTCACCACAACTGCTACTAAAGCAGTGCTATCATAAATGAAGTTTTTTTTTGGGCTGGGGATGTGGCTCAAGCAGTAGCGCGCTCGCCTGGCATGCACGGGGCGCTGGGTTCGATCCTCAGCACCACATACAAATAAAATAAACAGATGTTGTGTCCGCCAAGAACTAAAAAATAAATATTAAAAAAAAATAAAAATAAAAAAAAAAATAAATAAATAAATGAAGTTTTTTCACATTGTCAACAAGTCAATAATTTTTTAAAACAGTAAACAATTACCTTACATTAAAGTTCATTTTGGTGTAAAAAGAATAATTCATCTCATGCTTGTTTTTCTTGCTTACTTGTAGAATTATAGGATGGGCTAGAATTCCCTCAAAGCACTTGGTTTCCTCATATGAGTACAAATTACCTTACGTCTCTCTCAGTATTTGTATTCTGATATTCCATGTTCTGGTCCTCCCATGTGTCTCCTGAAATGTAGTCCCAGAAAAGTCATTAGAATCATCATGATTTCAGAATGCATTATGGGATTTACAATTTGGACAACTATACTGCACCCATTTAAAAAGATTTAAAAAGAGGGAAAAAAGGATTATGGTATTTATGCTGAAGAGGGCAATGACATTAGGCCCAATTTATTCCCCTAAGTACTCCCTTTCCCACATTCCAAATTCATGAAGGAAAAAAAAATCCTCCCAGGTGCTCTATCCTTGATTATGTAATGAAACATCGTCCTTACCTATAGAAGCCAGGTTTCTAAGGACTTCCTGCATCACATCTCTGTGGAGACTCTTCTGGGAAGGTTCCAGCAAAGCCCACTCCTCTTGGGTGAACTTCACAGCCACATCCTCGAAGACCACTGAATTCTAAAATACCCCACAAAAATGTAGTGCAGGCCAGGACAGAAAGTCAGAATGAGGGCTCTATTCTTAATATGTGAGATGCTCTCACAGTTGTGATCTCCAAATATTCAGTCTATGATTTGGTTGTTAAACTTGTACTCTGTCTGCACTCAATTCCCCAATCAGGCATTCCAATGTAAGAACTGAACTATCAGGAAAGCATCAGCAGAGGGAAAAAAAAAAAAAATTCCTTCTCAATTTTAGTTCAGGCATGCTACTGAGTCATCCCTAAGATCTTTTTAGGGTGAATGTCTAATACATGGAATAATGAAGCCTTACTATATCATGTGCAGAAGAGACCTAAGATTAGATCTCCTGTCAGTACCTATCCTGAGAAACGCCTACCGACAAAGTTGTACTTTAGCTGATAGAAGGAGGTAAAGATTTGGACAGGATCTCACCAAACTAAGCATTTACACAGAGTCACAGTGCTTGACAGTGTAGGTAAGCAACATAGAAAGTGCTGAATGATTGCTTTACTCTGGAAATTGTATTATTTTGTCCCACTCATACAATGTAGAACCTCCACGATCAATGATTGCCAATCCATTAAAAAAAAGAAAAAGAACCCTCTGAAAACAAAGTCTAAGAGCTTTCATGATAGGCAACATTTCATTGAGGTGGTCACAACATGGCAACAGGGGATTGAGCTCAACCTGTGTGATTACAACCAAGACAACCAATTAGAATATATTGGTGCTTTATTCCAGATCAAATGTAACCTAGTAATTACAAGAACAATCATCAATAAACAACTTGTAATATCTTCAAATTAATATCAAAATATAATGGGAAAAGTGCCAAATACTTTTCTGACATTTCACAAATCAAATTCCTAATCATCAATGGAAGGTACTTGTCCAAGCCCAATAAGAATAAGAAATGTGTAACACCTGTCAATATGTTCTAGATAGCAGATTGTTGTCTTACATCATATACAGTCATGTGCCACATGACGTTTTGGTCAATGATATTTTTGGATAATAATGGGCTACATAAAAATGGTTATCAATAGAAAAGGGATTATTACAGTGTTTGTAGTGATGGAGGTGCAAACAAACCTAATGCATGATGAATTTTGGTAGCTTGTTAAGTGAAATGCTGTGTGGGGCTGGACCCTAGGAAGCACTGACATGATACAGCCTAGGTATGTAATAGCTATTCCTTCTAGGACTGTGTGAATACACTGTGGTGTATGTGCAATGGTGAGGCAGCCTAAATATAAACTACCAGAATGTTTAAGTGACACCTGAGTATAAATAAAGAACTTTAAATAATACTATTGGACACAGCTAGCATAGAGTTACCTGTAGGTATTCTGACCGTGGAAATGTACAGGGAAGCATTCTTCTGGTGAGGGGGGTGGTTACAGGTGCTCTGTTTCCTGTGCTTGGAATGTCCAGCAATTTCTCTTTGAAGCTATTAAGATAACTATACAGGCTCACTATCTAATTTCTATGGTGATGTCCTTAGAGAAAAGTGGTTCTGTGTTTATATTAATCTGGACCTTATGTCAGTTAGTTAGCACTTGGGATTAAAGGAAGACTAAATCATAATGTAGTCATGGTAACAACAAGCTATGTAACTTGGGAGATAAATAAACATGGTGCTAGGAGGAGCACCACTTCTTTCTTGCCTCTGCATTATATGGGTAAGTCTCCGTTGTATTCCATGACTAAAACACCCAGTCCAGTGAACTGGGCTGCACAAAATAATCAGAGACAGAAATACCTTTACCTTTAGGTCCTGTCATGGCTCCTCTGACCTTAGAGGTCCATGGAAAGAGAGAGAAGCAGGTGCTAAACCCTTTTAMTGGGAAGAAGCCATTCAAATGAGGCAAGAAGTAGGATTACAAGGGAACAGTGCACCCTCTGGGTGCACCCGATTCCTAGGGCCACTCCCAGTGCCACACGTTATTATCTGAACGAGGGAAAAGAGTGAGTCACCAGTCATGTAACTATTACACCAGACTACAGGTGATCTTTCGGATCCTCGTGGTGCATCAGGATTTAAAGGTGAGTGTGTGTGTGTTTAGAGTGGCTCCCTACAAGCCTTCTTTGTTCCTTTCTTTATAGTTAGCAGAGAAATGAGCCATAAGAGGGACCAAGAGAAAAGAAAGCTTTCAGTGGTTTGAAATTCATATAAAAAATTGACTAATGACAGAATGCATTGTTGAGAAGTGGAAACATTCACACGCAATTTTAAAGATGAGTCAACACAAAATGGTATTAAACTGAAAAAATGCATTATTTTCCTTATTCCTTGGACACATGTTAATTTATTAAACATTCTAGTGTGATATACAAAACTAAAACAGTTTCAAAATGTTTTTTTCTAGAGAAATAGAAAAAAAAGATTTTTATATAAGAAGAGTAAGCAATAATAAAGAATGAGAAATTCAAAAGAATGAGAAATTCAAATGCATTTAAAAGATGACAATGTATCAAAAAGTAGCCTGAAATAGATGGGACATTAGAGGGTGTGGGTGCATAGTGATATGAATAAATGCACAGCTGAAATGGAAAAGACTCAGGACATGCAGCAGGAGCAGAAAACCATGTTAACAACAACAACAACAAAAAAGGTTTAGAAATTATCCACAAAATCTGATACAACTAAAACTACAAACTACTTAAGGAAAATGATACATGTAAAGATATCTGGTATTTGCAAGCAAAAGGAATTGTAATCTACACAAAAAGTAACCATGAAGTCAGTTCAATCACTTTCTAAATAACAATGAAGTGTTTTACATAAAACTAAGAAGTATCATTCTAATGTTCACATGGAAATACAAGAAAATCAACAACAGAAGAAAAAAAATAAACTGCAGAGCACCACATTTCCAGCTTTCAAAACCTCCTCCAACTATACTAACAAAGACAGAGTAGCACTGGTTTAAAGGCAGACACATACCACAATAGGGGAAAATGGGGGACCAGGACACTGCTGACCCATGAAAAAAAGAAGAAAAAAAATGTTGCACAGCAAACAGGACCTTCAAGAAAATGAATGGCCGGGAAACTGTGTGTTCATGTCAACGCGTGAAGTCAGACCCTCCCCTCACGGCACATGCCTGCATGAAATCCACATGGACCAAAGCCCTCAAGAGGTGAACCTCACCCATTCTTAGAAGACAATGCAGAGCACAATCTCAAAACACTAGAGCACAATCTCACAATAATGGATTTGGGAACGGTTTTTTTTTTTCCATCTATGTGACTGATGAAAGAATAGATGAACTTGATTTCACCAAATGGCTTTCAGTCCTATGGTTTGCAGCAATGAGAGTGAAACTATGGACACCACACTGAGTGTAACAAGCCAGGCACAGAGAGAGACATCTGTGTGTACAAACTCACTCAGAGAAGCTACAAGTTCAGTTCACAGAAAGTACAAGAGTAGTCACCAGAACAGTAGAGTGTCCAGAGCATGTAGTGCACAACATGTCACTGTGCATTTCATAATAAAGCATGCGGAGTAGTCCACAGACACCCAGAAATGATAAATGTAAGGGTCAGAAGGGCTAAAGCCCTAATCTTATCATGACACACTGGAACAGATGTGCAACTAGCTCACTGCACCTCATCCACATGTGCAATTTAAAAGCGAATCAACACTAAAGAGTGAAAATTTTAACTTTCATCGGACACCACCAACAGAGTGAAATGGCACCCCAAAGAAATGTGGAAAACACCGGCACAACATGATTCTGGAGAAGGTTTGATACCTAGAAAAAGCAGCTGACAAAAATCAAACCCATCTTCATGACATCAACATGCACATACCAGGAAAAGAATGAAAAACCCTAAAAAGCCACAGGGATCTATAAAACCTGAGGCTACACTGAAGAGCAAAACCCTGTCTCCGTGACAGAAAAACAAGTCAAGGATTCCTGCTCTCACYACTTCTAGACAACACAGCAAGGGGTGRRGGGGGGCTCCCAGGAAAAAAATCACAGCATTCCAGACCTCAGGGCTGACTCACACAGCACCAGATACTGAGGCAAAACCAAGGACTCCACCATATAAAGGTGGGAAAGG